GTTGTGAGCCACCACACCTGGCCATCAATTTTCATTTTTTATATAGATTCATATTTTATTTATTTAAATTTGTTAGAATCCTTAAGGGGCTGGGTTGAAGGTGTCCTATTTCAGAGTAGATAATCTGCTTTTGCCAGGGTTGTGAGGACACAAATGTTTATTTATTTATCTTCATCTTCAATTTTATATGTTAGACCTCCTGGACAATAGCGTTTGAAGAAAGGTTACTCTTGCAAAAATAATCTCTATACTGTAGAAAGACTAACAGAAATATTGCCAAAGTTAACAGATATAACTCATATAAAAGCCAGCTGTGGAAAAGAAAAGTGAAAATTACATGGCCAATAGAATCTCGTGATTTGAAGTTGTTTGCAGAGCTGCAGGATCAGACAATGCATGCAACTTTACTGCCCTCTTTTCCTCAAGCATCTTTGGACCCAGTTAGATGGTAAATAAATTAAAGTGCTATAGCTTTCCATAAGTACACATTTATGCTTTTACAGAATTATAATAGTTCATATCTGATTATCAGGGACATTTTCTACAGATTGTTTTTCTTTGGTGACAATTGCTACTGCTTTCTTCATTTCTAAATCCATACATGACACAAAAAACTCACAGCGGGAGTGTTTGCTCTCAGTAAAAGGCCCCAAGAAATCAGATCCAATGCTACATTTTCCATTGACTATATTTTTCCTATATTTAATTTTAGTTTTATATTTACAGGCATTCAGATTTAACCATTTGACTGCTTACATTCTAAGCTCAATATACACTAAAAAGGCAAGGAATAAACTAAAACACATTTTTTTCTGATATAAGTTACTTTCATCATGCTGTATGCGTATACTCACACTTGCCCACCCACAATTACAAATACATGCACACATGCACACACACATGTTGATTAGGGCAGCAACACTGTTCTTACTATGTATTCATTTCCTTCAGGGTGATGTAGGCTAAAAGAAATCCACAGTCTTAATTATGTCTAAATATTTATACTTTTGTTTCAGTCTACTGATAAGGCATAATCATTTATACACAGAACTAGTTTTGTTATTAAAAAATTTCTTAGTGATCCTCAGATGAAATTGCTTTCCCCTCTACTCTGTTTACTATCCTTCTCACTCCACTAATTTCAGCAGCTGCAGTTCAGATTACCGATATCTGAATATGGACTAAAATTAGTCTATCTCAAATATGGAAAGTTCTTATAGAGGTCTACTGTCTACTACATAGCATATTTAATATTTTTTATAAACATGTAATTTTGAAGGGTTGAATGCAAATTGAATCTTTTAAAAGCAATTCACAATCTAAATGTGCTATTAGATTTAACTACATGAAATTTATTAGTTTTTATACTTTTGCATGAAGTGAATAATCATCTCTTCAATTTATTTTATTAGAGAGTCTTGATCTAGATGGGGAAATAAAGAATAGATTAGCTTTTTAATCCTGGCCTGTGGGGACATTGCTGGTACAAAAATCTTATGAAATTACAAATCATTTTCCCAAGAAAAGGTACATACAAATAGAATTTTATGTACAATTTCTGCAGGTCCATGGATCCCCTAAAGGCCTGCACAATAGACTCCAGGTTATGATTTCCTGAACTAGATACAAAAGTAAATTAATGAGTAAATAGACCAATAATAATATCACTTAAGGCAGGGCATGTCTTATACATTACTCACCATTATTATAAAAAAATAAAAACAACTGTTTAATTGTATATGC